CCCCCCAATAAAACAGATGAAGGCTCACTCCATCCCTGAAGCTACTTGTGACATATTGAAGTCCTTCTGTTACAGTGAGAGGCAGGGGATGGAGAGCCTGCATGCAGCACTGACTCAGGAGCTTTCTGGTGAAGGAGCCTCCATCTCTCTGACCGGGGACTGTGTCCCAGCGCCGGTGAGTGGAGGGAAGACACGTTGCTCTGCTCATGGTGGGGCAGAAGGAGTTCTGATCCACCCCTTGGACATGGTGGAAGCCCCTACATTTGTGCACCAGTCGCTTCTTAGACATCCCCACCCCTGGGTTAGTCAAGTAGCACCGAGAGGGATTCTTGGGAGGAAACACACATTTAGACAAATACTATAAAAAAGCACCCTTTTTCCTTCTCATGTCTGATTTGTGCTCAGTGGTGAAGGAAGAGACTGCTCGCGTCCTATTGTTTCCAAAGGTTCTTGTCCAGTTTCAAAGACCCAGCAACGGAAGGGGTGAACAATGGAGTTTTAGCGCCGAATGTCGAAAGAATACCAGCCCACAGGGTTGACGCGTGTGAAGCCTCCGTGGGTGTTGGTCGGAAAGGGCCGGATGGGTCCCAAGCTCCCTGGGCAAACACTGGCTCTCAGAAGCGGCTCATTAAACCTGCTGGGTCCTCCACGTTCGTGGGTGAGAACCCAGGACTGAGTCTGTCTCCCTGCGAGGCACGTGGGGAGTGGCCGTGTTTCGGATGCGTTACAGAGGTGGTTGCTCTCGTGAGGAAGACGTGTCTCTGAAGACACGAGTTCAGGTGGTCGGCATCCCAGGGGCGGCCAGGGACGTTTCAGCCCGTCGGCTTTGTCAGTGTCTTTCTGTCGCTAAGATTGTCATATGTTCTGTGACATGATGCCTCATACAGAATCCCAGCACTCATTTCTGTCCAGGTCTGACCACTTTTACAGTTTCTACTGGTCTACACAGATATTCCCACCAAGTCACAGCTCTAACTCGTGACCAGTCAGTGAGTTTCACTGAACCTGAGCCGAGTGACAGCATGTGGGTTTCACTGCGTCTGATTTGTGCTCCTTTACATCTGTCCTGAGGGTCATGTGCCTTCTCTGGTTTGTTTTCTTCTGTTTAAAAAAGGGTATTTTCTCATTGCAAATTGTTCATCTTCTAGGATTTTCATTTCCTTAGTCACCTAACTTGATTCTCATGATTTTCTTTAAAGTTTGCATCAATGTGAATGGTTGTCTCTGCATCGCTCCCTTCCCTCCCGTTTCCCCGCACATTTGAGTTGTCTCCTGAGTCACCTCCTCCCGGCAGGTGTTACCACCTTCCTGACCAGTCGCTCACACACCTGTCCACACATCTGACTGCTGTCTTATGCGTCTCAAGGCTTGATCAAGTGCCTGTGATCAGTTTCATTCTTAGGTAAATTGGTTGGTTTTTGTGTTCATCCATCAGCACAACCAGAAGGGTTTGTATAGAGCACCCCAGTTCTACTGTTGAGGGGTTTCATCAGCCAAGCGTGCCTGAGCTGGCTGTTTACTTTTCCTGCAAGGCAGGTCTATCCAATTCATTACTCCTCTGAATATTTGTGATCAAGAAATATTTTAATCATAAATTTTTTAATCGTAAAAGTCTTGAGGAGAATTAAACAAAAATAAGATTCATAAGAGAAAACAGCCTAGAATCTTCTTCCTTTCTTCAGTTCATGTCTGTCCCAGTCTCCATATTATGTCCTGGTTGGTAGTTACCAATAATTTATGTACATTTTTAAAATATATCAATGGTGTCTGAATTTTTTTTTTAAGATATGTTTTTATTGATTTTAGAGGGAGGGAGAGGGAGAGAGATAGAAACATCAATGATGAGAGTCATTGATCGGCTGCCCCCTGCACGCCCCCGGCTGGGGACCAAGCCCACAGCCCTGGCTTGTGCCCTGACCAGGACTCAAACCAGTGACCTCCTGGTTTGTAGGTCAACGCTCAACCTCTGAGCCACACTGGTAGGGCTGGTGTCTGAATGTGTAGCTCGCTGAGTTATAATCAGCAGTAGAACATCAGTCTCTGTGGACTATCGGTTGCTTTAAATACACTCACACCATCCCGCCCACATGTGAGAACGTGTAGTGTGGATGGTACAGTAAATACCGTTTTGTTTTGAGTCACTGTCTCCTCTGGAGGGAGACTTCGAGGCATGTAGTTCACTCACTCACTAGGTCAGCAGTAACTAACTAGCAAGAGTCCTCTCCTTGTGGAGTCGCCGCCCGTGAGCGTTGGAAAGGGCCGTGACCCTCCGCCAGCTGTGAACTTCCTGTTGCAACGGCGCAGTGATTGCTGAGCCACCCTTTACAGGTTGCTGATTTAGAAGCAGGAAAAACGCTTCAGTATTCTTCCTGTTTTCTTTGAAATTCTTTATATGTCCCAAAGGGACGGACCAGCCACGGGTTAAATGGCCGCATGTCGTCGCGTGTGCCGGTATTTCCCAGGCCTCCTTGATTACAATGACAGCCGCCGCTCCGCCCCGAGTCAGTGATGGTTTCTGGTCTGTTCGCGCTGCCGGTGTGAGCGCGGGGAAGGCCTGCCCGCAGGGGCCTTGGACTCGTCTGGGCGGCCCAGCGGCTAAGGAGTGAGCCTTCGCTGTGCGACTGTCCATCAGTACAGTCTCGGCGTGATGCTGGCTCATTGCGTGTGAACCCGTGTTTCTATACCATTCTTTTACATTTCAAATCCTGCAGTTTTTGCTAGAGAAGGACTTTAATCTTCAAACTCAAGTGGGATGATACTTTAATAGAAACTAATCCATGCTGTCAGATTGATTTTTAGTATGTACATGACAATTTAGAATAATTTACAAATGAGTCACTAAGATGGTATTAAACTGCTTCTAGTCGTTGATGGTAAGTTATATTATTGTCTCTGGTTTTTTACCTCCGCAGTATTTAACTTTTTATGTGGTTCACCAGGACGTGGGCTTTCTAAGGGTGGAATTCTGTCCCCTCAAAGGACTAACTAGGGAACTAGGGAGGTTTACACACAATACTCAAAATCACCCCCCATAAAGATTTCTGATATTCAACACACTGGTATAAAACTGACTGTACCCTGGGCGTCCCGTATTAAGAGGTGAACAGAGCTCAGCTATGCAGAAGGCCAGACGTTTGCTACTGTGTTTGGGGTGGAGTTAGTTCCTAGTTTCTCTAAGTAAATAGGAGCCAGGCTGCCTGCAGCTCTCAGGGTCCGATGTTACTGAGCACGGCCTGGAATAAAATCCTCAGTTTCTGTGTAAGTTCAGTGTGTTGTAAATGTAGCCCTCCGTGGAGAGGGAAGGGTTGCCTTACTGATGATTTTATCTGGTCCTTCCCACTCACAGCAGCTGCCAAGGGCAGTGTTATCTCCGGAGGAATCTGACTGGGAAGATATCAGTACTGACTGAGATGCGTGTTTTGGCCTCAGATGTAGGTCACCGAATTTTAAGCACCTAGCAATACTGATTTTCCTTCTGCCCTGTAGGACACAGGAGACTGTGGAGCCCTTCATGTCTGAGTTTAAATCCTGTTTTTTCACACCTGACTTGACCCCTTGGGCATGTAATAACCTCTCTGTCATTTCATTACCTAGTGGGATAGTAAAACCCCATCAGGAGACATGGCTGGGCGACCCTCATGGGACTGTTGGTTGGTGCCTTGTCCCATAAGGGACTATCAGCCTCTGTGGTTGCCTTCAGAGCTTCTTGGTTTAGCAGGTAAACTGTCCATTTGGAAAGAGGCAAGAACTGGAAACCTAACCCCGGGAAAGGAAGGTCCTTTGGAGTTTTGGGTCAGTCACAGGTTTATTCTGCTGAATGTTTACAAACCCAAAACCACCAGAAACACCATGTTTTCTAAACAAACAGGAAAGGAAAAGAAAGCATAATCCGTAACAGTGCTTAAACTTCTCATATTTATCTGGCTAAGTTTTTGTTTATTTTTTAAGCCTTCAAAGTATTTCAAAAAATATATGTTTATTTTGCTAAAAGGCGGCTATACAAGCTATTATTTTGATTAAAATTGCAGGAATGGCTCTGGATAATAGGGCAGAAGTAACTCCCAAACACTCATGTCTAACCAGGATGGCAAGAGGCCCTCGGATCTGCTGCTGATTTTGCAGCTCTGTTTGGATTAGTTGGTGTGTTTTCAAAGGAGTTTCCTGCTGTAGGTATTATAGTAAGTGGGTAAGATGACCAGTCGCCGCTGTGTCCATGCCTGCACACACACATAACTGGTAAAATAAAACCCTGTGTACATCTGATCTATGAAGACTGTTAAGATAATAACAAAATAGAAGTGTAAGAAAAAGTTTCCGTTCCCAGTTTGGTTTCTGACTCAGAGACAAATGAAACTGGAAAGGGGGATTTTTTCCTGGCAGATGAAAAAGAATTTACTGTCTATTTCATTGAATCTAACCTCCCATTGGTTGAAGCTGCACCATTATTTTATATACTACAAACAAAGGAGGTAAACCCAGCCCTTTAAATTACAACAAAATTTATTGTTAGAGGCATTTCAATTTCAGAGATAGTGAAATGTGAAAAACACACACTTTAGAATTAACTATATGTAATTATTACTTACAAAGATATTAGAAGGAACACTTGGGTTTATATCTGTATATAACTAAGGACTAGTGAAAGCTGTTCTGAACAACGTGTAAGCTGCACATTTAGTCTTAATTAAATTTGGGTCTATAAAAAGATTAAATAATATTAGTCATTAAATTTTAATCCTAGGAAGGTCCATAGAGCTGCCAGAGATGTTAATGAGTAGTCACTTATTTAATACACATTTTAATGCCTGTTATAAGCCAGACACTTAGATGTTGGGTCTGTAGTGGTACCTGAATCACTGGCACCTGCTCCTGGCCTACCTGTTGGGGGAAGGGCTTGAAGGTGGCAGTGAGCGCTGTCAAGGAACCGCGGAGACAGGAGCTAGGGGCTCTTGATTCAGGCTGCCTCGGTTGAAGAGAAGCTAGTGTTGGACATCAGACAGGTGAGAATCCGCCAGGTGAGAAGCGGCCAGTGAGAGGCGGCCTGTGCACAGCCCCAAGCAGGAGGGGGAGTCTAGGCAGTGAGCTAGACCAGACGGCGCAGGGCGTCACGGGCCGTGTTAAACATCTTGGATTTTAGTCTGAGTCCAGGGGAACTACCCAGGGTTTTGCTGGGGGAGGTGAGCCTTGGGGCTCCCCAAGGCCTGATGGGAAAAGAGTGAGACTCGGGGTAAAGAAACCCTCTGGAGTCTGCTAGTCGGACCAGCCAGGTCGGCAACTTGACTGGGGGGTCGAGAATGGATATCTTCTTGAAGATAATTTGCCATTAGTATCAGAAGTCTTAGTTACTGTACTAAAAAGTGTACATTTTGACCCAGCAGTTCCATTTCAGGGCATTTATTCTAAAGAAGTAATCTCAGGTGTGAGCAGAAGTGGAGCTGCGAGTGTGCTTGTCCCTACTAATCATCAGAAGTCCGTTCAAAAGGTGGTATTGTTTTCAACAAGTGTTGGGGACAAAGCCAGTCCTGCTGACTGTGAGGCCCGTCCTCTGTCCCCTGGGAAGGTAGTTTAGACCAGGGGCATCCTCTGAGTGTTGGGTGGGTGCCAGGAGGACAGGTTCGGAAAATGCAGAGCAGACCTGAAAGGATTCACCCTGTGAGGCAGGTCTGGGCAAGAGGCTCCCAGGAGGGAGAGCCAGTCAGGGAGTCAGGGAGGCCAGGCTCCAGGCTCCCTGGGGACACACTCCTGGCCTTCTGAGGACCTGCCCACCTGCACCATTCCTGGAGGAAAGTGCTTTCCAGACGAGTCGCGTGACTTCTGGGTGCACCCTCAGCCCCTAAGTTCGGAGGCCTGTAAGTCTGAGTTTCCTTGGGTGTCAACCAGCAGGATGAGTTTGGGGGCAGACTTCGCCCTCTCTGCCCCCTCCCTTTCTCGCCTTCCTACCCACTCCCAGCACCCCATTTTGTGATATAATCAGCAGGAAAAGCCGCCCAGCACTCCTAAGGGAATCAGTTTTCTCCCCCCTTCCTTAGTCCCCTCTCCCCTCCTGTTGCCTCCTTCCCTGGGGGTTTATACCTGTGTGGTGGGAATACTCAGTGTGGGTTTCAGGTGTCCCTGCTCCGCGTTTCTGGAGCTGCCTATCGAGGGTCCCCCCCCCCCC